TCGTCAGTCAAAATCCTTCCAAAATCATCTTTTATACATTTTACATGTGAAACATCTCTTCCATTCCTTTCTCTCGCTTTTGCAATTTGAAAAAGTCGTTTTTGACCTTCTGGGCTTTCAAGGGACCGATTTAATTTATCTTGGGCGTCTGCCCTACTAATAGCATCTTCCTTCTTTGCTCTCTTCTTACATTCTTTATACGCCCCTCTCTTACTTTCTTTTATGGAATCATTCTGGTCTTCTATGATCTGCCATTCTTTAAAGGCATTTTTCTTTTCTCTCAAAACTTCTCTAATACTTTCACTCCACCACCACCCATCCTTATCTATCATACGCTTCCCTTTTGTTTCTCCTAACACCTTCCTTGCCACACTTCGGATACAATCAGCCATTTCCTTCCAGCACTCATTCACACTCATTCCTTCCATATCACCCATCTCTATCATCTTGTTTACAACTAGCTCTCTAAATTCACTTGCATACTCCTCCTTATGCAACAAATGCCACTTTATTTTGGGTGGGGGACGATCCTTATGTTTGTTGAGGCGAACAGTTAAGCAGATGTCAGCCAGCAGAATTCGGTGCTGGGATACTAAGTCTTCACCTGGAAGCACTTTGCAGTTTTTTACACTCTTGATTTGGTTCCGTCTTATCAGAAGATAGTCGATCTGTGTCGCGTGGTGGCCACTTTTATAAGTAACAAGATGCTGATCTCGTTTTTGGAACCACGTGTTTACTACAGCCAGGTCGAAAGCACATGCTGCTTGCAGAAGAACTTCCCCCTCACGGTTCCGCACTCCGTACCCCCATCCACCGTGTACTCTTTCATACCCGTCATTCACTCTCCCTACATGTCCATTAAAATCTCCTCCCATATAAACATCCTCACTCTCAGGTATTCCCATCATCATACAATCAAATTCCTCCCAAAACTTCTTTTTCACACTCTCTTCACAGCCTGTTTGCGGAGCATACACACTTACAACATTCACTACTTTGTTTTCAATCATTAATTTAACAACTATCATTCTGTCATTTACTCTTTTCACATCTGTCACTCGTTCTTTCATTCCACTATCTAACACAACTCCTACTCCATTTCGCTTCCCATCACTTCCACAATAATAAAACTTGTATCCTTCCCCAATCTCTCTTGCTTTATTGCCCTCCCATTTTGTTTCCTGCAAACAGGCAACATTCACTCTTCGTCGTTTCAAAACATCTGCTAACTCTCTTCCTCTTCCAGTCATCGTACCTACATTCCAGCTTGCAAACCTCACTCTGACATTCTTCTCTCTCCGGGCTCGCCTCTTACGTCGCACCCGCTCCGTAAGGTGCGACAACCCTTGCCCACTTCCCACAGGAGCCGGATGCTGCCCCTGCGCGTCGCCTGCAGGGTACGCCCTAGCCCTGTCATATATCCCACAACTCGTAATATTCATAGGTTTACTGCATGGGATTTGGCAAAAGTTTTACAGTCGGCCGCCTGCCTGACACCAACCCTCTTTGGGTATGCTATTGTTGGTAGAGGAAGCTACCATTTTGGGAAAAGGAAAAAGAAGGTTGGCGGTAGGAGCGCAGGTGTAAGGATACTGTTATCTCGGCAGGAAAGGTATGAGAATAACAGTAGCTCGGGGAGCCGGGGTCGCGTACCCGTATTCCATAACAGGATCACCGGAAAGGTAGACCAGCATGAAAACCCCCCTGACTACCATACCATACCCCCTGACTACATTGTTGTGCTGTGCCTGAATGCAGAAATACGAATATAAGAACGCCGGGAAAGTTATGGATTCAATATTTGGTTAAAAATGGCAAGAAGATACCCGTATACATTGTCTACAAAAACCAGACTATTCTTCTGTGAAGATCACTTTGATGTAAGTATGACTTATATTTAATGATCGTTTAATACAAAACAAAACATCATGAGGTGAAGGGTATTGCCAGTGAAATTTTGTAATAAAATTGCGTTAACTTAGATATAATTAATGATTGGAATTATAGATAAACTAAACTATGATAGCTACTAAACTATGTTTTATCAAAATACACTCTGACCTGGTATTGTGTTTTTGTATAAACAAAAGTTGGTAATAGGTACTTACACTTATATTTTAACATTCCTCAACTTAGCAGAAGAAAAATTGGGATTGCATGCAAAAATTTTTGCCACCATCAATTTATTTACCCTTGGTAGATTAGTACTTTCTACTTTTACGAATTCGTATGATGCCTTTTGGAAGGCGTCAAGGCGAAAAAGTTGTTACTCAAGTACGCCGATGTTTTCTCGTCGAACGATGCTGACATAGGAAAAACTGTCAAGAAGACCTTCTCCTGAAGATTGCAAGCATTGTACAAGGTAAGAGGGTAAGGAAGTGGTATATGTGAGGATGCTCAGGACAGACCACCTCAGCAGCGAGTAGAAGGACAGCTTACAACATGCTCAGCAGGAAGATTCGGACATCAAGCCGATTCTGGAATGGATGAAGGCCAGGGCTCCCAAGCCCAAGTGGAGCGACGTCTCAGCGGTAAGTTTGACCACGAAAAGCTATTGGGCCCAATGGGACAGCTTGCTGCTTCACGATGGAGTTCTGTGCCGTAAATGGGAAAATGGTCGGGGAGACAGCTGTCATTTGCAAATGGTTGTCCCTAAAGCTAAAGTACCGGATGTTCAGCTGTACTTATGGTACGTACGTACGTATGGCAATCATTATGTGATTGCTCAGGAGGCCATCTAGGAGTTAAACGAACTCTACTGAAGATCCGAGAACGGTTTTACTGGGTCCACTATCGAAACGATGTCGAGGACTGGTGTCGCAAAAGTACAAGTTGTGCGGCTGTAAAGGGATCGCAGACTCGTAGTAGAGGTGCATTGAAGTTGAACAATATTGGTGCACCATGGGAGTGAATAGCCATTGACGTGGCGGGGCCGTTTCCGGAAAGTGAAAGTGGTAATAAATATTTCATGATTGTGATGGATTACTTCACCGAGTGGCAAGAAGTCTTCGCCATTCCAAATCAAGAAGATTCAACAGTTGCAGATAAACTAGTCCATGAAGTCTTCTGTCGTTTTGAAGTACCTTTAGAGATTCACAGCGATCAAGGAAGAAATTTTAAGTCTCAAATATTCCAGGAAACTTGCCCACCCACCCACAATCTGGTGGAATGACATTAGAGACATTGGAGAGGTACCTAGCAAAAGTTGTAGACAATCGGCAACGAGATTGGGACATACACCGTTTTTGTCGCCATATCGAAGTGCTGTTCACGAAAGTACATCAGTGACACCAGCCTTCGCACACTTAACGGCAGCAACCGGAACAAATGCAAAAAAAAATGAAAACCTGGAGAAACATGCATAATTCAGCAGCAAGAAGGGGGGAAGAGGCAAACGGAAAAGAACCGTTAGAAAAACGAAGGGGCCCGGGGGTTAAAAAAAGACAAGATGTTTTCAGTGGAAAAGGTCCTATATAAATTCGGCATGGAGCGCGACCGGGGCAGTATTGAATTGGCGATACAAGTGAAGACCTAGGAGCGATATAAAGTATTAAGTGTGATTCATTATTAGTGAGTTTTAAGTTTTAATTGGTGTTCAGCAATTAAAGTGTCAATTTCGGTAATTTAATAATAAATTTGGTAAAATAAAGAAATAGTTATCTTTATTGATTAACTCGTGTATGTGTATTTAGGCTTTAATGTTAAATACTAAAAACATAATGGCATTGTCAAAAAGAAAATAATGTAAGAAACTAATTCAAATGGAAGGTCACAAATATTGGCAACAAATTTTCAAAAACTGTATGTAAATAATTTGCCTGTTATATTGTTTCTCTTGTGTTGAAATGCTGCTCAGGGCCTCGTTTATTCGTTATTACCAAACAATAGTCCAATAAAAAAACAATAGCCCAATAAAATATATAATATAATATGTTCGTATAAATTGGAACAAAAATAAATTAGTATGCCAAGAGGCAAATAAGTTTAATTTTTCCTATTTTTTGGGCAGAATTTATGAAATGAACGATTGTAAGACATTATTTTAACCGGCACCAACAGAGTGATTCTGGACAGTCTTTAAAGTCGTTAAAATATTACAAAACGACACATCTAGAGATGTATACCATCCAAATACAATCAAAGTCTAAAATATAAATTATACTGCCAATTATGTGATTCATCATTTAAATATTTTTTAAGTAAATACACATGAACAATATATATTGTATTATTGGAAAACAGATTTGTGATTAGTTAGTAATAAGGATAAAGAGCCGTGGTAGCTAAGTTGGTTATCGCTCGCTGTATACATATTTCACAGTACGCGATCGAACCGGGTTCGATCCCCGCCGGCACTAATGAAATTGTTAAATGCAATTTTAAGCGCTGATTTACCACGTGCTCGGCGGTGGAGGAAAACATCGTGAGGAAACCTGTATGTCTGAGAAATAAAAAAAAATATTTTTGAAGACATGTGAAGTTTGCCAACACGCACTGGGGCAGCGCAGCGGAAAATTCCTTGCCCTAAAACCCTCTCAGAAATTATACTGTCAACCAAGGCGATGTTTGACTTCTATATTCGAGGAAAAAGTTATCTCCTTCATCGTTATTAGCATCACCATTATTTCCAGAAACATTACTGCAACGATTAAGGTAGGGATAGTCGTTGACGAGTCTCCCTTCTAGTACATAACTAAAAGATAACTCTTCTCCATGATCTGATATTATACAGAATTGACCTAAGTAGTAGCTGCTTGTTTAGTTTTAAAACGAAATGCAAAATATTACTTGTGATTTAATTAAGAATCCATACAGCTTTTATACATCACTCATCTAAATGTATTTACAAAAATTTAAATAAGTATTAAGTATAAAAATTTAAATAATTTCATAGTTTTATATACTCTTCAAATAATTTATGTACTAGAAGATATCCCTCTAAATCTGTATTTAAGACGCACTTTGTTGTTGCAAGTTTATGCGAATTGAAGATATTTTTTCTAAATATCCTCGTCATCTAGGAGTAGTGTTGGTGTCACAGAAAAAGTATTATCTTTATCAAAACTTCTATAATCTTGAGACTCTTCCTGTGCTATAATATTCGATGGGTTTATCTCAAAGGAATCAAATCCAGGTTTTTCCGGTGCTGAAACATTGTATTTTGTTATCTTTACGAAGTTTAAAAATACATGCAAATGGTGATTTTGAGTAAGTTATTTCTTATATAATTTAATTTAAAAAACTAAAACTGAAAATTAATGCTAATTTATGTAAGAAAATAACATTTTAAAATTAAAACTCGTAAGTTTGATTCGTGCTACCTTGGTCAGCTTTTAAGAGTTGCATTGTCAATACATTTGATTTATTACAGGTAATACAAGGTTTGTCCATTGGTATGCGTCCGCCACAGTATTGATGTGATCTGCCAGAAAATTTGAGTTTTGATTAAATTGTGTAATTTATTTTTAACACGCTAAAAAGAAGGATCACAACTAAAATAGTTATAATTTACAATATATTTATTCTTACCTAGAGTCTATTCGATGTGGGATTGGTCGGCCTGGATAGCAAATATCATAATCACCGTCTGCATTCAATTTTGACATCGTTTCAGCTTCTAGTTTGTGTTTTGTTAATGTATTTGTGAATGGTGGAAGTTTAGGTACGCTGTTAGGTACTGTTGGCTCCATAATTGCAGGAGAGGCACAAGAAAGACAAGCGGCATCACGAAACATTTTTCTGGTAGTTGCAGCAGCACGTGGTTCACCTAGGATTTCTATCATCGTTTGTATTCTGTTATTTAACATTTCAATATTTTTGTTAATATCATCACGCAATGAGTTTACTTGAATCCAGTCCGCTTTTTCATTAAGTTCATTAAAAATTTCATCGATTGCTTTCTGAAAGTTTAGTTATAAATAAATAAAACTTAGATCAGAATTTTTTCTACAGACTACTGAATGATGATATTTCCATGTTCGATTATGACCACATTGATATTTTGCTAAATGATAAATCTTGTATCTTGTAATGTAACGAGTGTAAATTTGATAAAGTAATATCACGATCTTAGAAAATGATTTAACCACAAAAACGCAGGACAATTATGTAACAAATGGCCCAAAGCCCAAAGTAACAATTTACGTGTATATTAATTTATATACCATATAAACTATTCCCTATGTGGAAGGTAGGGGTAGGTATTTACTGTGTAGAATGTCATCTTTTTAATATTTTCTGCTTTCAGACAATTTCATAAAATACCGATTACCTTTTATCTTGCTGTTTTTGGTCTGAAGAGTAAGAGAACTAATATAATTGCCGACTGTAAAGCGCACAATATTAATCATTGGAGGAATTAATTTACTGAAATTGATTGAAGCTGTCTATCTTCCTGTGTGTGTATAGCTCGTTTGGCTATAATATATTAAAATTATATAATAGGTTGTAATTTATTAAAATTGTTCAAAACAGCTCGCCTGCCAAATTAGTTCTTGATTATTAAATTTCTCATATGCAGCACTAATACTTTTCTGAAAATCTCCTCGAACTGCATCAAAATGTTGTTGAGATACAAGACCATTTAACGCTTCTAGGCCAGCTTTATCACGAAGGGCATCAGATACTTCTTCTCTATCAGGCTTTGTATCGCGCAATTGTTCTATTTGTTGCCATAGAGTCTAGAAAAAGTCAAGTGTTTTAATTTGTTATTTTAGTAAGGAAGCGATATTAGTGTAAAATAATAGAATGTCATAAGTACTTTAAGATCCAGGTGTAATGAATTTTGCATTTCTTGTAATCCCCTTTGTTTAGTAGATGCTTTATCGAAATCTTCTTGAAGATTTGTAAAATGCGCATTCAGTTCTGCCACAGCTTCAAGGATTTATTTAGTTAGTAATCGCAAATTTAGATATCAAAATAATTCTTAATTTAAGCAACGGACCTGCTGCATCTCCTCCGGTGTTTGCAAGAGCTTCGGCCATATTTTCTAAACAAGTCTCTAAGTCATTTTGCATTTGAGTTAGTTGTTCTTGATAATTAGTTATCTGTTAATTAGTTACATTTTAACTTAAAATGTTTGAATAAATTAAATATGTCGTAATTTATTCGGTACGTGAATATAACCACGTAATAAACAATCGCATGTATAGTATTACTAAAAGTAAGGATGATGTAGTTTAGGGTGTAATATAAAAAGGTAAAAGAATAATAAAATTACAGGTCACCTGAGAAGTTAATCCTGTATCAATAATGTTAACATGATCAGCGTAATCTGATACCAAAGTTTCTAAATCATTCATTCGAGACTGAAGATGTAACGTCGCTTCCAATTTTGTTTCTTTTAAAACAAGTTAACGTTTGTGAGCTTATCCAAATTCAGATAACAAAGTATATTTATAGTAATAGTTTATTTGAAATAATTCATACCTAATCGTTTTGCTAGTTTTAAAGCATTATTGGCACTCTCAATATTGGTATGTGTTATGTTCGTTACTTCCTTTAAAATCTCCTCCTGTAATTCTTGTAGCGAACAACTATGACACAATATTAAGAAATAAAGTTTACTAATTAGCTTAATGTGACTGGCGGTGTACGAATATATCCACTACCTCAAATTGTCCCTTGGGTATCATGAGAGGCGACAAAGTAAAACAAACCAAAAGATGCGCAGCAGCTTTTCCCCCCTAATAACAGCTAGAAAATAAAAAAAATGCATTTGCCAATACGCCTGGTGAGCATGAAAACTGTAGCAAATAACCCCTTATGAGACAATTGGGGAGATTGGATTGGAGTGGACTGTAATGAATTGGTTAAATCTGTCACTAGATAGATGTTTACCAGATGATTAACACTACATTCTTTATCAGTTTTGATTATATGCATTTTACAGCATGTTCTGGGAAATGATATGTTTTAAGAATAAGTAGAAAGCAAGTAGAAATTGAGCTTAATGAACAATTTGTGTTTCATACATAATAAGGTACGTGAGGGTAATATCGTCTTAAGCTTTGCCGCCTTGTAAAACTACAAACAGGAGCGGGACGGAGACAAAAACAAAGTTTTATACCGTAACTAAAACATATATTAAGAAAAAAATACAAACAAGCTTTGGCAATAATTAGGGACGCTTCGAAAATCAGCTTAAAAGCCGTTAATGACCTTGTCAAAATGGCATGGATAAAGCAGCGCCCTTTTGGCTATTTATTATTTGATTGACTGTTGAAGAGCTATCGTATCACAGAGCCATCTATGCAACTGTAGTTATTGAGTTATAAGGAAGTGACCATATTTACCGGATAACCATATTATTACCATCACGTACGCAACTTATAGAGTCGATGGATAGCGTATGGACCTTTATAGGTGTTACTTTAGCGGTACATTGGTGGAATGGGACCTTTATAGGTGTTACTTTACCGGTACATTTTTATTCTTAGTAATAAGGTTAATAAAATAAATGAATTTGTAAGAATTACTCTAAATCACAAGACGTTATCCATTTCTGATTTTTAGACGCAATAATATCTTTCTCCGATTCGGCAACGTCAACATGTGTTATATTTGTAGTGGATGCCTGAAAAGATTGTGTTTCAGAAGAAACCTTTTGAAATTTTTTATAGTGGACTTGCATTGGTTTTTCATGTTCCATTGTCTGCTCTTCATTTTGGCCCTATAATTATACCATAGGACTTTTGAGAAAAGAAAATTAAAATGGGTACGTAATATGGAACGTGCTCATTATAGGTACCTCGTATTTTACGGTTACGTCTGTTCCAGGCGTCCTACTAGCTAGGTCCGTAATTAATGATAACATTCTATTTAAAGTTTTTTCGGCTGCATCAAGACGAGCAGACAGTTGCAAAGCAGCCATGGCATCTGTTAGTGAGGCACCTTTATGGAGCTCCTGCATAAGTTCAATGTTTTCGGGAAGATATGCTGATGTGATTTCCCCAAATTGATTTTGTAGATCTTCTACTACTCTGCCTAGAGCTTGAAATTGATCTTGTGTAACGACCGATAGCTTGCGTGTTTTTCTAGTTTTAGATTGACCTAATTTTCGAATTTTCTGTTAATTAGAGTTATTTTTATAAACATATGCTATCACCGCAACATTTTAAAGTAAATAAAAATTACCGGAAGGTGCTTCTGCCTCCTCAGATGGCAATCTTTCAACTTTGACATGAAATTAAAAAGTAATTAAAGTTAATAACAAAAACTTCACACGTTCAAGAGGAATAGAGTTAGGTGAAACAAGTTATATAAGAAAATATTACAAATTAATCATACCTACTAACAATTTTTCATACTGCATCTCTGTGGACACATTTAAAAGATTAGTTTAATCTATATGCTCCCATTTATATGCATTTTATTTTCAAAATTTGGAGATATCGTTAAAATACGTCATTACAAAAGACATGCCAAAATAATAAAGATACGCAAGTTTACGACTGTCGCGTAGATTTAGTGCCATTTCATCACAAAGAAATTTACGCTGGCGGGTAAAAATTACAAGGAATGATATTTGAAAGTAAAGAAAATACACTGACTGATTATAATTTCAGGATTTCTGTGATGTCTCAAGATGATGATCATAGGTATTTATCAAGTTGTTTAGATGTATAAAAACTGTATGATACTGATGTAATAAAAAATAGATTATATTATAGTTTTGAAGTATCTAGTTTTTTGTCGTGACCAAAATGGCCCTCGTATTTCTAAAATAATGTGAAGTTAATATGTAACGGTAGATGACAAAGAAGAGAAAAACGTAAAAGTTATGGGTGCACAATATAGAAGCAAAATGAATAAAATGTACCCATCGAATGAAGTGAAGTCATCGGAGTCGGAGATTTTTCTGCTTCTTCTCGCGAATTTGCTCGCTATAACAGGATAAATTCATGTTTATGTTAAAAATATATAAAAATGAAAAGTTGTATAAATTATAATGTAAAAGCTATTTTGTAATAAAATGTGTAAAATAATAAACCAGCTCCAGGAGTTATTGAGATTTATTACGTTACTAAAATTACATTACTAAAGTAATAAGGGGGAGGCCCATGTTCAGCAGTGAACTTGTGAAGGGCTTTAATGATAATGATGATAATATCTATTTATTTATTTAATTTTTTATTGCATTAATATTCAAGAATAAAAGGGCGGACTTAATGCCTTGAGGCATTCTCTACCAGTCAACCCATGGTGTGGTGAGAATTTGACGTTTGAATAAAAAACAAAATAAAAATGATAATTAATTACGTAATATATAAATTTTACTGATATATAAAATAAGTAAATTGTAGAAATATCTCCTATTTATACGTATATATACAAATATATGAATATATATATATATATATATATTATATATAAATAACTATGAATATATACGTCTGATAACAGTATGAATGACATGGATGATTCAAGTAAGCAGCGTTGTCTTTAATAGATGATTACGCACCAATTTTTTTAAAAGCAAACTTATTGGGAGCTTTTCTGATGTCATCGGGCAAGGAGTTCCAAAGGCGTGTACTGAACGGTAAAGGAGTTACCATAGAACTCGGTGAAGTAAACAGGAATACATATTTTGTTGTCAGAAGAATAATGTAGAACCCTGTCGTAGTATACAATATTATTATTTTATTCTATGAAACAATAATTACCTGAAAACATCCAGTAGCATAAAATCCTAATGCAATAAGTAATTGCAGTTTTGGAGCAATCGGCAAGCCTCTATTATCCAAATTGGCAATTAATGGTAATATGACATTTAATTTTAAAACAGTGAGTTTAGTTAAACGTATTTTTTATAATTTATTTTCGTCATACTGCTCGAAAAGTTTTGGTTGTATTTATTTCGAACATTGAATTTAGACATGCGTCGAAAACTGATATCTGCTGAAGTTCCAAATCTATCTATATTTTCAAAAGTAATAAGTAAAAGAACTCTCTCTATATTTACCATTATGTCAAACAGTCCTTAAACAACCCAGGCTGGGTTACAGAAAAGCCCAAAGAATCGGGTCCAATATCCATAAGCGTAGGTCGTATAATTCAAAAGCCGGTAATAATAGAAAGATCAGGCATTTGAAATATAATTAAAAACTTCAACTGACCAAACGTTCCGTTTCTATAACATATTTTAAACTAAAATAATTCAAATGTACTTTTATTTCTCTTTAAACACGCCTATTTTCTATTTCATGTAATAATAACTTATTTATGAAATTAATTTCGACTGTTTTCGATTTTTAAATATAAATTTTATACAGTAAAATTAAGAACGTAATGCATGGAATGAAGCATCCACTAATTATTGGATTGCCTGAGTCTTATCATAAGCTTAGCTTAATCTTAGCCCTATACTTACTATAAATTCAGAATCTAACATTATGCTCAGCATTTACTCGGCTAAGTTTTTCGTAAGTAAAGTCTGAAGTCAAAGTACAGTCTATAGGTCTCAGCCTTAGAAGTGGTCTAGGTCTGGATGAGTGAGTCGGTGACCAGTGAATTAGTAACTGACAAAATGGCACTTTTCAGATCATAATTACTCAAGAAATAGAAAATTACAAGTGTGTAGGTCTAGTAATTTATAAGTTTTGACTGGGTCGAATGTAGCTAAAATAATTCATGGTAAATATACACAGGGCTGGTGCTTCGCCATTTTCTTTCCGAATTTGGTTGACTCACCGCTAGATGTATTGGCATGACAATGGCAGAGAATTTTGCTAGTATAAATTTTTGTGTAACTGAGGTCGAATTCACAATATTATACATACCTTATTTTAAGTTATAATTTAACTGGACAGCGAGAAAAAAATAAACAAAAATAACGATAAATAAAAGCATCAAAAGACTGCTCATCTGAAAAAAAATGATGAAAAAACATCGTGGTAAATGCAAAAATAAACTGGACCTGACGAATAACACGCAGTTCCTGCTCTCGTTGCTCTTCTATAATTTCCAGAAGTCTTTGATAATCCTGTTAGAAAGACTGTATCAATCTATGATTAACGCAATGGTTTTAATATAAGCAAGTCTTTCAAATTAAATAACTTACATTTTGATACGTTTTATGACCTGAGCCTTTCTCGAAGATCTGTTCCGTAGATACGTTATCATTTATTTTGCTTTCAGGCCTATTGGTTAACGGGTCAGATTTATCCAAGGGACGTTTTTCAGAAAGGGAGACTACTGAATCTATATTTTTAAATCTTTTTTTTTCCTTAGTATCACCCAGTTGTTTTAACGTTTTACCAGCTACACTAATGTCATCTTCTTTGTAAATCATTTCACCCTCTGCTCTTTTCTTCCTTTTAGGTACAGCAGCGTGCATTTTAACTTCAGTCACAGTTATGCTAGATTGCGAAGCTACACTTAAAGATGGATCTAGGTTAACTTCCACACGACGTTCCAAAACCCGCAGTTGATGGGCGAGAAGATATAAAATTGTCTGTATTATTTTAAAGTTTACTATGTTGACCTACAATGAAGAGCATATGAAAATACTGAATTAATGTCAAAGAAAAGGTTTATCTGAAATAAATATTTTCTCTTCTAAAGAACATTGGATTTGCAACGGTAATGTTGTTGACGATAATGGGGCCATGGCCGGTGGGCCCCTGTAACGGGGACCCTATTTCGATCTGTAAATATCGTCGGAAACATGTGTATCATGACCACCGATAGATGCAGGTATAGCAAGTTGTATAATGACAAACGTAAAATAATAATCAGACTGGCGACGAGGAGCAGCATTATGGTAAGGATACACGACGACAACAGAAATTAAACACTCAGTGTATACATCGAACGTCTGTGTGTGTACACTGCCGCGACACTTAGTTGCAGATGTAGTTACGGTGTTGCTTTAGTATCTGGTATCTGTGTCACCGACGTGGAGACAGGACGTGAGCGCTTTCCGACACAAATGTCGCTAATTTCGAACTAGCGCGAAATTTTAGTTAGACTAATACGGTCACGCGCGTGATCTGCAGAGGAAATAAAATATTTAATTTTATTTTATGAATTGCTGCCAGAACTATGGTAAAAATCAAACCCCGATTATAAAAATCTGTACTCTTGCAATTTTATATTATAAATGACATGATAATGTCGAACCAGTCATTCGTCTTCGCAATCAACTTTAATCTCCATGTCAGTAACGGAATTTACTGAACTATATGTTCAACGTGTGAAAAATACACACACAGTCGGACATGTGAGTTACTCTCTATATTATCAGACGAAAACTTGGGATGGCTGGTTCGCGATCGCGTCTTTAGCGTTGTGTCGCGTGGCGTGGATCTAATGTTGCTACACATCATGTCGCCTTAAAAATATGTCGGCTCTAAAATAAAACTTTATTGCATGCTTTCAATAGATAAAGTTTTAAAGAATAATTTGTAAAAGTTATTACTTTAATCGTAATTCACCAGGAGAACATCATTGTATGTACCAAGTACATTTATGGATATTAAAAAGGCCGGAACATACTTAATGTGTGTGCGTAAAGGCGTAATCAGACGGTTCTCTCGAAAGAATGGTACACTTGAGGGTATGCTTCATTTTTCTTTCATTCCATGTTCACACGTCTTAGCTGGAAAAGAACATTCACCTGCTCTTTTCTTTCAATATGTCGTCGAATGACGTCGTGCGTCTTGGAATTAATTTAATTTGTGATTTTTTTAAATATAGTATAACGGTGACAAACGAGCACACAGTACGTCTTATGGTGAGTGGGCGCTGGGGCATATAGACATCTGCATTTATCTTCTATTAAGAATCAAAATTCAGATACGTTGCCTCATTTCCAGTAAAAAGGGTTTCCGTTTCTCTATACTCACCACACGAAACACAGCATTAAGCTTTTATTTAAAAAAAATCTTTTTTTTTCTTTAAAAAATATTAATTATTATTTAATGAAAAAAGATGCCACATCAAGTTGTATTCATCAAGTTTGTGGTTCCAAAGACATTGATAATTTTTAAAATTGTCCAAAAACAGCAGCTTATTTTGATCGTTCCACTTGAACACCATTTTGCCGCGACGGTTGTTCTGACTTTTGTTTGATATAGAACTCGAGATAAAATGGCCGAACGTGCTCATATTATTCAAACTGTTCATTTTTTATTCATTCGGAGTGTAAGTGAATGATGCCGAATGCCAATATTCATGAATGAATCGATCCATTGATCGATCGATTCCTTTTTGGTACTTTTCTTTTATACCGTGTTCATACATTTCCTTTCCGTTGAAAGTTGCGGAATGAAAGATACAAATGCACGAAAAATGAACCGTCTGATTCCCTCTGCCATCTGCCTTAATGTGATGTACGAATGAATCTAGTGGCATAACATTAGTCGTTTTATAAACAAAACTGTAACCGACGTAATAACAACGAAGGCGTTGTGTCTTTACATACTCTTTGTATATAATGAGTACGTTTTAGCGACGCCTTTCATACAAATAAAAAAAAAATTACAATGGCGGCGCACATGTTATCACGCATACATGCACGTCACTTTTACAGAATTGTTTCACCTCAGTCTTAGCAGAAACTTTATCACTGCTGTTTAACGGAGTTCGAAATCGTATTTTTTGCCGAGTGTAATTTAATATATAATTTTGAGTTATTAATATTAATAATTGCTTCTTTGGTCTAGTGGACGTAAACTAGATTGCTGTACATGAGGTTCCGGGTTCGATTAACGGGTCAGTCCAAAAATGAACTATTGAGTTTTTCTGTCAGGTAATTGTCAGTATCAGCCCGGAGTCCGAAAGTTGGCGGTGTTTCTCCCCTGTGTCTCGGAAAACATGTAAAGCCGTCGGTCCTGCATCTGATCTCTCTCAGTCTGTGTTGTATTACTGTGCCATCGGACTATGAGAGCCAGGGAACAAAAAGTGCACTTGACCTGAGCATACATTTGGGCACAATAATCATGACCTGTTTCCGTTAAGACTAACCGCCGTAACCGGAATTCGGTCTGGAGGACATTATTATAATTATATTTTTTTCCAACAACTCCGAGGATTGCTTCTAAGTTCTATTGGAAAGTTCATACCAGTTTTTCTTCTAAAATTTATACAAATAACTACATTATTTCAGTTGCGGAGAACATATTAAAGAAATAACATAAGTGCCACATGTATCGTCCACACTTGTACATGTCAATAACTGAATTGTATACAAAAATACTTTATTATTGATTTTGAAGTAGCTGACTGCAGACCATTTATCACTAGGTAGAATGTTGGTTCTCAATCAGTTTTACTGTAAATAAATATTATAAAAAAGTGCATAATCTACATATACCGAAATATCACTGACTGACTGACAGACTCATCACGATATCTCTAAAACTATACACCCGATTGACTTGATATTCAATATTTACTCAATAGTTACTCATTTTGCAATGTAGACGATAACTAAGAACGGATTTTAAGATAGTTCTATAAAAATTGGTATTATCGTGCGCCCAGCGAAGCGAACGAGTAATAGCTAGTGCAATATAATAATTACAAAAGGATATTATAAATTGTGCCTTTATTTAAAAGTTGGCATTAAGATAATTTTGCTTGTGACTAAGGTGATATAAAATGTACTTTTTCTTATTTCGGGTACAAAGTTTACTCAAAAAGGTACCTTTGTAGGTATGAATAATCACTTACATCGGGGTCACCGAAAGCCATATCAATCATTTCCCTCACACTTAAAATATTAGAATTCGACATTTTACAGTCGGTACATAAAATAACGTTAAATATCAATAAATTATAATCTAGACGGTCTGCTAAACATTTGACATCTCAAATATATTTATATAGGTTTTATTTGACACTTAAAATCCTGAGAGTAATTATAGATAGATAGATAGAGTAATTATGGCATAGAGAGAGTCCTAAAATAAAAAATAAATTTCTATAGCTGAACTCTTTATAGTTATGACATTTAATATGGTACAAATAAGATAGCTATATTATTCTCATCGATTCTCATATCATTTCTTTCTCTTTCTTTACAAGGTTGTTGCCGTTTTTCCATTCCATAAACACATCTGTTGAAGTGCCATTAGCGAAACAAAAAATTGTCGATAAATTCTAAAGTAAAGATAGCTATCTCACTTTGTACCACGTCAAATGTCATATGTATAAGGAGTTCAGCTGTAAGAATTTTGTTCTTATTTTAGGATTATCTCTAAGCTAGTAATTATGCTTGTAAAGTAACCATAGACTTAGAATATACTGGCGTAGTATATTCCAAGTCTATGAAAGTAACGTTGCACGTAATACTATTACAATAGGGACGTGATTTTTCTAGTAAATCAGAAGATACGATTGTACTCACTAAACGTAGTGCTTACCTTCTCTTTGGTACTTACTCTCATATTTGACATAGTATTAAGAGACCAAAGATGACCACTTGTCATTTCTATTTCTACGCATGAATTACACACAACATCATTCAATGGATTTGTTTCTTTTTGCCTTATTTGTTATACGTGGTAGAGCCAAGCTGCAGTTACATTACGTTTGTAGCACGAAAGTTTCGTCTCAACCGGGAAAGGACCACGGTCTAACGATATACCAGCGCAAAATAGCAGCTTAATACTGCTGTGTTTCGTATGGTGAGTGTAAAGATCCGCAGACCCCTTTTAACTGGACACGAGGCATTCCGTCTTAGTCCTCAGAAGTGACAACGCATCTGCGTTTTGATTCTTAATCGAGGATAAATGTAGATGTCTATGGGCCTCGGCATCCACTAACCATCAGGTGGACTGTGTGCCTGTTTATTACCCTTATTCGATAAAAAAATTGAAAATTAAATTAGAAAAGGCGAGACAAGTATATTGACTTAATTTATGTAGAATTGTAGGTTCTTCCTAGGCATACGTATGCATGCATTACTATAAGGAAAAATATAAAACCATAGATTACTTTATAACATACTCGTATAAACATTATATGTATTTGACATTTAAATCAATCAATAATCAATATTGTTGCGCGCTTAAGTTGACGTCTGGCACTAGCGCCATCTAGTGTTGGATAACAGAGTGAGGAGAGCTTTCCAGAAAATGACATGACTAATCTTTCAACCAACAGCGCCATCTAGTATTGAATTGAAGAACTAAGCTTTCTAGAAGCCCGACACTCGAACTTTCTGCGTCTGGTCGGTCGGCGCCCGTATCTATGGGAATATTCTGGATGTTTCGGTGTAAACGTGTATTTAAACCCGCTGCATGCCACAATCGGGGCGGTATTGAATTTGGCAAGACAAGCGAAGCTTCGGAGGAAGAATAAAGTGAATCAGTGTGGTTAATTATTAGTGTT